AAAACAAAAATTATTAATAGACAATTAAATAAATTATTAACAAGATAATCTTCAGGGTTGCCAGCAATAATTAAATAAATTTCAAATATTACCATTTGAAATATTGCCACTTAACATATCTAGCAATAATTTGTTGGAACAATCCAATTCCTTGCTTCTTAAATTCAGCACAGCATCGAATAAAGCATGAAACTTTTCTTGAATGTTTTTATACTTTTCTGAGTATAATCGTAAATAATCCTTTTCAATCTGTAATTAAAAAATTAGTTTAAATTTGTAAGATTTTTACTTCACAAATAGTGTTCTGTGAAATTACAAGGCAACAGTAAAAATATGTTAAATAAATTTTAGTAAATAATATGTTAGATACTAAGTTATTCACCAACACATAAGCCATTGAAGATGTCAATATATTCCAATCGTCAAAAAGTGAACATAGATTTGGATAAGTTGTACCATCATGTATTAATTTTTTTCTAAGTAAATATGATTTTTCCCAATGACACTATACCTCTTCCCAAGGTTCGAAATTATTTTGAAGCCAATCATGACTCCGCTCTGCCTCCTCACGTTTGTCAGTATCTTTTATAAATATAAAAAACAGTAATTAAATATAAAACAAATTATAAAAATATGATCTTTACACCAACCTTTGTCAAAATTGCCACCATCTTCGGAGTTATTTGTTGAGAAAGACGAGTTTGATAAAATCAGTTGATATTTTCTCAAGAACGCTAACATATTTCTATTTTTATCAACTAATTTTCCTTTAGCAATACCGGATTTGTGATTTTTTGAATCTTTCTTTTTCACGGGTGGACAATAATATACTTCCTTACATTCAGCAGGAAAGAGGGTAGTTATATGATCCGCAATCTTGTTTAATTTCTCGTTATTTAATTGAACGCTTAAAAAATTAATACAAAAGAAAACTAATATTATTACTCTCCTCGTTTTATAAATAAATTGGTAAATATATATTTATCTATCATTTTGCAAACTACGTAAAATTTGTAATATTATTAGCATTATTAAGCAAAGAAAATTTATCTTTTACATAACAAGTGATTATTAATCTTCTTTAATTAATAACTCAAAAGTATATTGTTTGCAACATAATACAGGATTTTTTTATTCATTTGAAGAATTTTATTTATTTTTAATTTTCTGTATGCAAAAGGATGTATCAGTCGCGCCGGATATTCTGTATATCAATAAATAGTATAGTGTAGAGAATTTTTTTAATACATGCTCACTTAATATCATTATCAAAAAAGTGGCAGATAATAATGTTTGCCAAATACTGTTGGCATCTCAACGGTAATCCATTCTTTGCGTCATATGAAACTATAATTGCTTGTCCGATTACTGTTTGTTGAAGCAATGCCTTTAAATCAAAACTAATTAACTGTAAAAATAAAAAGTATGGCGATAAGAGAGAGAGAGAGAGAGTAAAAATATAAAAAATTGTAACTTATGTGCAACAGAACTACTTTCAAGAAACAGATACACATAATTAAAACACAAAATGCTATAAAAAATACATATGTTACGGTAGTACTTTCGTCGGCTAAAAACTAACTAAATATGTAGATTAATATTTGTCAATTTATAAGAAACATGTTATGCGAGTGTAGTTAACTTTGATCCACAAAGCAATAAACGGATTATAGATTAAGATACTTTATAGCTTGTATTTACATTGAAGGAATATTCCTCATTATTTTGCATTATTAATAGCAGTAGTCACCTATTATAATTCAAGTTCTGGAAAATTTTACATACCGTGTGGTTAACTGCTTCAATCCTCTGTTTCTTTTTTGCTGGCTCGTCATTTGTAGTACTTAATATTATAACATCTTGTATGTCATTAACAGAAGATATTTCTAATGGTAATTGTACAGTATTTTCTACAACTGTACCGCTATTTATTGATGCTTCATTATCTAAAGACACATCAATACTCGTATTTGATGACATAAGAGTGGTGAGTGCTTCAGATGGAGTCACAGAAGGCGTCGAAGTAGAAGTCAGAGAACGCTCAGGAGGAGTTTCTGTTTCTTTGTCTAAATCATTATTGGAGAAATAATTTTGCAGTGCAATTCTTGCACCTATCGATGGTATAACTTCAGTTATTTCAGGACATCGATTAATAGTCATGTATTTTAAAGTATCATAGTTGACATCATTATCTAAAAATGTAAATTAATCTGATGATAATGTAGAGTTTAATACAATATAATCATTATTATACTA